CACATCTGGAGTTGTTTCTATGTATTTTAATCTATTCCACTGATCCTCAGGTCTATTTCTTTGCCAGTACCATGCTGTTTTTATCACAGTGGCTTTGCTGTACAGTTTCAAGTTGGGGATTGTGATATCCCCTGTCATGTCACTGTTGCCTAGAATAGCTTTTGCTATTCTAGGTCTCTTATGGTTCCAAATGAATTTTTGGATTCTTTTCTCTAGTTCTGTGAAATATACTGTTGGGATTTCAATTGGGATTGCATTGAATCTATATAACAGTTTTGGTAGTATGGCCATTTTCATTATGTTGATTCTTCCTACCCAGGAGCAGGGGATATCTTTCCATTTTCTTATATCCTCTTTGACCTCTTTTTTTTTCAGAGTGCTGTAGTTTTCAATGTAGAGGTCTTTTGCTTCCTTTGTTAGACTGATTCCTAGATAGTTCATTTTTGGCGGATGCTATTGTGAAAGGAATTGTTTCCTTAATTTCTCTCTCAGTGAGTCTGTTATTTGCGTACAAGAAGGCTATTGATTTTTGAGTGTTAACCTTGTATCCAGCTACTCTGCTGAAAATGTCAATTAAGTCTAGAAGTCTTCTGGAAGAGTTTTTTGGATCTTCTACATGGAGTATCATATGGTCAGCAAATAATGACAGTTTAACTTCTTCCTTTCCTATTTTTATTGCCTTAATTTCTCTTTCATGTCTAATTGCTGTGGCTAATGTTTCCAGAACTATATTGAACAGGTATGGTGATAGTGGGCATCCTTTTCTTGTGCCTGATTTTAGTGTGAAGGTTTTTAGTTTTTTTCCACTTAATATGATGCTGGCTGTTGGCTTTTCATATATAGCCTTTATCAAGTTGAGGTAAAGACCATCTATTCTCATTTTTTTTGCAGGGTTTTTATTATGAATGGGTGCTGAATTTTGTCAAATGCTTTTTCTTATCTATTGAGATGATCATATGGTTTTTGTCCTTGACTCTGTTAATATAGTGTATTATAGTTATTGATTTACGTATGTTGAACCATCCTTGCATCCCTGGGATAAATCCAACTTGATCAGAATGTGTGATCTTCTTTATGACCCTCTGTATTCTCTTTGCCAGTATGTTTTTGAGGATTTTTGCATCTATGTTCATTAGTGAGATTGGCCTGTAGTTCTCTTTCTTGGTTAGGTCTTTCCCTGGTTCTGGAACCAAAGTAATGCTTGCTTCCAGGAATGAATTTGGAAGTATTGCTTCCCTTTCAATTTCATAGAAAAGTTTAGAGTAGTGGCATTGGTTCTTCTCTAAATGTCTTGTAAAATTCAGCAGTGAAGCCAGCAGGGTCTGGGCTTTTCATAGTTGGTAAACTTTTAATTATGTGTTCAATTTCACTGATTGTAATTGGGGTGTTTAGAATTTTTTATCTTCTTTGTTAAACTTTGATAATTCTTAAGTATCAAGAAATCGGTCCATATCTTCTGTGTTTTCCATTTTATTAGAATATAGGTTCTCAAAGTAGGTATTGATGATCCTCTGGATTTCTGCTGGATCCATTGTAACTTCACCTTTTCTTTCCTAATTGCATGGATCTGAGCCTTTTCTTTCCTTTTTTTGACAAGGTTGACTAAGGGTTTATCAATTTTATTCTTTCAAAAAACAAACTCTTTGATTCATTTATTTTTTTTTGTATCATTCTCTTAGTTTTTATTGCATTGGTTTCTGCTCTTATCTTTATAATTTCCTCCCTCGTATGAGCTTGGGATTTTTCTCTCTCTTCTTTTTTTAGGAGCCCCAGATTCATCATTAGGTTGTTTATTTGAGCTCCTCTGTTTTCCTAGTGTAGACATTCACTGCTATAAATTTTCCATGTAGAACCGCTTTCACTGTGTCCCATATATTCCTGTAGGTTGTATTGGAATTATCACTTGTTTGTAAAAACTGTCTAATTTCTTCTTTACTTTCCTCACTGACCTATTGATCATTCAAGAGAGTGTTGTTCAATTTCCATGTGTTTGTGAAGCTCTTACGGTTTGTTATGCTATTGATCTCCAGCTTAATTGAACTATGATCTGATAATATACATGGGATAACTTTGATTCCTTTGCATTTATATAAACCTGTTCTATAAGCTCATATCTGGTCTATTTTGAAGAATGAGCCATATGCAGCTGAAAGAATGTATATTCTGATTTTGTGGGGGTGGAACATTCTATAGATGTCTTTAAGTCCATTTGTTCAAAAGCTTGGTTTAGTGCTAGTATTTCGTTGTTGATTTTTTGTCTAGATGATCTGTCTGTCTGTGATAGTGGGGTATTTGGGTCCCCCACTATAGTTGTATTAGTGCTTATTTGGTTTTTCATGTCCCTTAATATTTGTTTTATATAGCTAGGGGCATTAATATTCAGTGCATATATATTTTATTATTGTCATCTCTTCTTGAATTGTTCCCTTTACAAGGATGTAGTAGCCTTCTTTGTCTCTCTTAATCAGTTTTGGTTTGAAATTTACTTTGTCTCTTGAATAAGGTAGCTACCCTTGCTTTTTTCTGGGGTCCTGGCATATGGGGAACTGTTTTTCCATCCTTTCATTTTCTGTCTATGAATTTCATTTTGAAAGTGTGTTTGTTGTATGTATGTGTTTCTTCTAGGTGTGTTTATTGTATGCAACATATTGTTGGATTTTATTTCTTAATCCATTCTGCCAGTCTATTTCTCTTGATTGGAGAATTGAGGCCATTGACATTGATAGTTACAACTGATATGTATTGACTTATCATTGTCAAGTTATTGTCCTGTTGTTGGGTCTTTTTACCCCCCCCTTTCTCTTTAGTTTCTTGCCTTGCCTAATTGATTTGCTCTGTTGGGCCTCATGGTGCTGTGATCTTTGTTGTCTTTTTCTAGGATATTGTTTAGAATTGTTTGTAGTGCTGGTTTTGGTTTCATGAATTTTCTCAGGTGTTCTTTGGCATGGAAGTATCTTATTTCCCCATCCATTTTGAAAGAGAGTTTTGCAGGATACATCACTTTAGGTCGGAGGTTGTTTTCTTTTAGGACTTGCAGTGCCACACTCCAGGCCCTCCTTGACCTGAGGGTTTATGTTGAAAAGTCTTCTGTGATTCGGATGGGCTTTCTTTTGCATGTGATTTGTTTCTTTTCTCTAACTGTGTGCAGTAGTTTGCTCCTCTTTTGGATTTCCGGGATCTTGACTATTTATATTTTATATCTAGGTGTAGATTTTTTTTTTATCAGGGCTAGTTGGAGTCCTATATGCCTCACCTATCTGTATGTCAAACTCTTCCCCTATGTCTGGGAAGTTTTCTGTCATTAATTTTGTGAACAGTTTTTTTTTTTTAAGTCTTTTGTAGTTTCTCCTGCTACTTCATGGAGCCCTATCAGTCTCATATTATTCTTCTTTGCATCATCTAGGAGTTGTTGGATTGATTTCTCATGATCCCTTGCTGTTTTTAAGAGATCTCTCTTTTCATGGTCACTGACTGCAACCCTGTCTTCTATATCTGAAATTCTATCTTCACATTCATTCAATCTCCTGCAAATCCTTTCAATAGAGTTTTTAATCTCCTGGATCACTGTTTGAATCTGTTTCATGGATTCCATTTCTTTCCTATGCTGGGCATTCATGGCTTCTATCATGGTGCTGAGTTCATCTATTTTTTTGTCTATTTTTGTTCTGGAGTCTCTAATCATGTCTTTCATTCTGCTCACCATCTGTGTAGTTATCTGGGAAATTATTTCTATTTTGAATTTTTTTAGAGCCTGATTTATCTGTTTTGTTACTTCCTGTGCTGTGAGTTCAGGGTGTCCTGGTGGTTGATTTTCAGACATTTCCACCTTATTTCCTCTAGAAGTTGCTGTTGGTGAACTGGAAGTCTGTATTTGTGCCTTGTTTAAATGTTTTCTCATTTTCATTTTTGTTGTTGGGCTGTCCTTGGTTTAATTGCTGGGTTAGTACTTTGATCTTCCTGACATAGCTGCTCTTTAGGTTTTGAGTCTCTAATGACTCAGAGACACTCTCATTTCCATAATATCAGAAAGAACAACTCATTAAATTAATCATAACCCTTAAACCCAATTGATATGATCAGCAACACAATAGCATCAAGCACAGCTTAGAAATTGACCACTTATGGTAGTTATTAATCTATCACCTTTAACCATATGAATCAAAATCGAGGACCAGCCCAAAAAATGTTTATAGTGAATGCACTCTACAATATATCAACTTTACACTTCAGGATGGGGACTTAGAAGGAGTAGGGAGGAGAGGAATAGATACGTAAAAGAATAGGAGAATGTTTCGAGTGAAGCCAGAGGACACAGGGTGATCACACAAACTCTAGAAAACTGTTAAAGACAAAAGAGAAAGAGTGCAAGAACAAAGACAAGAATAGAACAGCTTAGCAATTATAGGGAAATTGTACTCACTTTCCTTTGAAACTTATGACAATCAAGTGAAGGAAAAAGAAGAAAAGAAAAAGAAAGAAGAAATCTGAATTAGGGCAGGAACAAAAAGGCAGATGCAGAATAACATGGGAGAGCAAGAGACTGAGTGGGAAAAAGGAAAAAGAAAAAAGGAATTTGCAGAATGGGAAAATAATATTTTTAAAATAAAAATTAAAAATAAGAGAGGAAAAGAAAGAAAGAAAAATTGAAGAGCCTCTTTCAGGGTATATCTCTGCTGTCACAATAGACAATGTGGGCAGCAATGTGCGAACTAAGTCAATTAGTCTCAGCTAGCCAATGGCAGACCCCTGAGATTCAGGCTGAATTCTGGTTGCAAGGCCCAAGTTGGGCTTCTTGACCTCTGGCAGGGTTGAACTCTGCAAGGTTTAACTGCAGGTTCCAGGTGCCCTTCCCCTGAAGATAGTCCAAATTCTGATGGAAGGTGGTGATCGTTCCAACTTACCAACTACGGAGGTCTGATGTGCCTTTATTTCTGTTGTTCACTCTGTTCTATCTTATGGAGCTCAGTAAATTGCTTTTATGACCACCTGTGTCTCTGCAGTGTGGATCCAGGTACTGGCACAACCAGGAGGCCTGAGAGGGGTATGGGGGAAGAATGCTGTAGAGGCACCACACAGCTGGGCATTTCTCACCAGTCTAATAAATTTTACAGGTAAGTAATTGTGAGTGCTTCCTGACAATCTCTGTGTAACTAGTTTATATTCAAAGCAAGTCTTCAGCAAAATCCTATACCCATATAAACATTTTTAAAATAAGCACCTATTAGTTGTTTCAAAACTTGATCTGTAAACCTTGGAAAGTCTCAGCCTTTTTTTTTTTTCCGTAGGGGTTTTAACCACATTTTTTATAAAGAATTCATCTGAGTCTGAGGCCCCAGAGAGAGGTAGGATTTAGCTAATCCTATAGTAGTAACTGCCAGCCAGAATACTTTGAAATCAGAACTGAATTTAGCCTGGGTGCCATCCTTATGAGCACAGTGACAGTTTCATCCTGGTGAAAATGTGTGGAGCATCTCTAAATCATTTTATACTGAGCAGTATGGGGATACTCTGCCAATCAGAGTCCATTTATAATATTAATTATGTTAATTAGGCAGTCATTAATCTTACCAATGAAAGTCTATTAATAACATTTATTATAAGTAGCAATGCTACTGGTGTTGATTGAAGGTAGGACTTGTGGCAGTCCTCTCTGGTGTGTGGCATTTTGATTAAATGTTAGCTGTGAATTCTTAATTAGGGCAACCAACTATTCCTAGAGTGTAGATTAAAACTAACACACCCATACTTATATCACACTGTCAGAGCTCAAGTATTTAAGAGTAAATTACATTTTTAGAGAATGGTTGGGAGAATGTATAATAAATAGATGCACATTGGATTGCAAAGACTGTGGAATGGGGGATCAAATATACCATTTACCAACTATCTTTGTGATTTGGGGCAAATCATTTACATTTTCTGGGTTTCAACTTTTTCATCTATTAAAGGCTTAGATTAAATGACACTTTAAGTTCCTTCCAACATTTACTTTATAATTCTGAGTTAATATATCCACACATATGAAATAATATAGTTCAGACTGAATACATGATTGCTCAAGAGGAAGTGCATGAAAGAAAGAATTTTTGGGGAAGTGAGGCAAAGCCAATCAATCATCAGTGTGTTTATGAACATGTGTATGTTTCTCTTTTTGCCTATTAGCTCTTGTGTAGATCAAAATGATGCTTGGTACGTTCAGACTCAATTTTGGGATATTAGATATTATTTCAGGTAACTTTTTTCAGCATTTAGAATTTGCACCTGGTGAGGAGGCACAATACTGATTTTGCTTGCTTGAAGTCGACAGGTGTTGCAGTGGCAGGTCTGTGTGTTGGCTTCAAGCTCAAAGCAGTTGTGTGTCCTACTAATACACTTCTGTTCCTTCTCTAGGGAGACCTCTGTGAAAATGGTTATTTGCAAAAGTAAAATCTGAATGAAGATGGCATGTTCTTTTTATGTTGAGAAATCGAAAGGAGAAACATACTGACTTCAAATACCCTGATTAAAGTAGTATTCAAATCCTAAACATTACCCCAGGCACATAATTCAAATGAACCCTACAGGCAAATTTTCTGTGCTTCATTTGCCTTTAGTTTGCAGACTTCCTGCTCAGGGAATCTAAAAGAGAATGTAAACTTTTCATCCTCATTTGCCCTACTGTTTGCCATTGTGAACTGGAAGTCTGTCTTTGTGTCTTGCTTAAGTGTTTTCCCATTTTTATCTTTGCTGTTGGGTTGTCCTTGGTTTGATTTCTGGGTTATTACTTAAATCTTCCTGATATAGTTATCCTTTAGCTTTTGAGTCTCTAATGACTCATAGACAGATATCCAGGAGATTAAAAACTCTATTGAAAGTGTACACAGCAGAATATAAGAATGTGAAGAGATAATCTCAGCTATAGAAGATGGGATTGCAGTCAGTGACCATGAAAAGAGAGTCCCTTAAAAACAGTAAGGGATCATGAGAAATCGACCCAACAACTCCTAGATGATGCAAAGAAGAATAACATAAGATTGATAGGAATCCATGAAGTAGCAGGAGAAAATACAAATGACTTAAAAAAAAGCTGTTCACAGAATTAATGACAGAAAACTTCCCAAACAGAAGGGAAGAATTAGACATACAGATAAGTGAGGCATATAGGACTGCAATTAGCCATGATTAAAAAAAAATCTACACCTAGACATAAAACAGTCAAGATCCCAGAAGCCCAATACTGCAAGCAGTTAGAGAAAAGAAACAAATCACATAGGAAAACCCATCAGAGTCACAGAAGACTTTTCAACACAAACCCTTAGGTCAAGGAGAGCCTGGAGTGAGGTATTTCAAGTCCTAAAAGAAAACAACCTCTAACCTAGACTGATGTATCCTGCAAAACTCTCTTTCAAAATGGATGGGGAGATAAGATACTTCCATGACAAAGAACACCTGAGAAACTTCATGAATACCAAACCAGCACTACAAGGAATTCTAAACAATATCCTAGAAAAAGACAATAAAAGTCACAACACCATAAGGCCCAACAGAGCAAATCAAATAGGTAAGGCAAGAAACTAAAAGGAGAGGGTAGGAAAAAAAAAGTCAACAACAGGACAATAACATGACAATGATATGTCAGTACATATCAGTTATAACCATCAATGTCACCTCAATTCACCAATTAAGAGAAATAGACTGGCAGAGTGGATTAAGAAGGTAAATCCAACAATATGTTGTATACAAGAAACATACCTAGTGCAAAAAGGAGCCCATAGACTGAAAGTGAAAGGATGGAAAACAATTCTCCATGCTACAGGAGTCCAGAAAAAAGCAGGGGTAGCAATCTTATTCTCAGACAAAGTAAATTTCAAACCAAAACTCATTAAGAGAGACAAAGAAGGACACTACATCCTTCTAAAGGAAACAATTCAAGAGGAAGAGATGACAATTATAAACGTATATGCACCAAATATTAATGCCCCCAACTATGTAAAACAAATATTAAGGGACATGAAAAGCCAAATAAGCACTAATACAATTGTAGTGGGGGATCTAAATACCCCACTATCACAAATAGACAGATCATCTAGGCAGAAAATCAACAACAAAATACTAGAATGAACCAAGCTTTTGAATGCATGGACCTAATAGACATCTATAGAGTGTTCCACCCCACAAAATCAGAATATACGTTCTTTTTGGCTGCACAAGGGTCATTCTCCAAGATAGACCACATACTAGCTCATAGAACAGGACTGAATAAATGCAAAAGAATCAGTGATCCCCTGTATATTACCAGATCATAGTGCAATCAAGCTGGAGATAGCATAAGAAACCGTAGGAACTTCACAAACACATGGAAATTGAACAACACTGTCCTGAACAATCAATGGATCACTGAGGAAATTGAAGAAGAAATAAGACAGTTTTTACAAATAAATGAAAATTCCATTACAACATACAGTAATCCATGGGACACAATGAAAGCAGTTCTACTGGAAAAGTCATATCAGTGAATGCCCACACTAGGAAAACAAAGCAAGCTCAAATAAACAACCTAACGATGAATCTTAGACTCCTAGAAAAACAAGAGCAAGAAAATCCAAAGTTTGTACGAGAGAGGAAATTATAAAGATTAGAGCAGAAATCAATGCAATGGAAACTAACAAAATGATACAAAAAATAAATGAATCAAAGTGTTGTTTTTTTCAAAGAATAAATAAAATTGATAAACCCTTAGCTAAACTTATTAAAAAAAGGAAAGAAAAGACTCAAATCCATGCAATTAGGAACGAAAAATCTGAAGTCACAACAGATCCAGCAGAAATCCAGAGGATCATTAATACCTACTTTGAGAGCTTGTACTCTAACAAAATGGAAAGCAGAAGAAATGGACAGATTTTTAGATACTGATGAATTACCAAAGTTGAACGAAGAAGATAAACCATTTTAAACACCCCAATTAGAATAAGTGAAATTGAAAATGTAATTTAAAAATCTACGAACAAAGAAACCCCCAGGTCCTGATGGATTCACTGCTGAATTTTACAAGACATTTAGAGAAGAACTACTGCCTTTACTCTTCAAACTTTTCAATGAAATTGAAAGGTAAGCAATACTTCCAAATTCATTCCTGGAAGCAAGTATCACTTTGATTCCCAAACCAGGGAAAGATGCAACTAAAAAAGAACTACAGGTCAATCTCCTTAATGAATATAGATGCAAAAACCATTAATAAGATACTAGCAAACAGAATACAGAGGATCATCAAGAAGATCATAAATCCTGACAAAGTTGGATTTATTCCAGGGATGCAAGGATGGTTCAACATACGTAAGTCAGTAAATGTAATACACTATATTAACAAAGGCAAGAACAAAATCTGTATGATCATCTCAATAGATGCAGAAAAAGCATTTGACAAAATTCAACACCCATTCATGATTAAAAACCCTGCAAAAATTGGAATAGATGGTCTATATCTCAACTTAATAAAGGCTGTTTATGAAAACCAACAGCCAACACCATATTAAATGGCCAAAAACTGAAAACTTTCATGTTAAAATCAGGAACAAGACAAGGATGCCCACTATCACCACTCCTCCTTGATATAGTTCTGGAATCATTAGCCACAGCAATTAGGCAAGAGAAAAAAATTAAAGCAATAAAGATAGGAAAGGAAGAAGTTAAACTGTCATTTTTTGCTGACAATATGATACTCTACATTGAAGTCCCAAAGAACTCCACCAAAAGACTTCTAGACTTAATTGACACTTTTAGCAGAGTATCTGGATACAAGCTCAACACTCAAAAAATCAATAGCCTTCTTGTACACAACTAACAGACTCACCAACAGAGAAATTAGGGAAACAATTCCTTTCACAATAGCATCCCCCAAAAATGAAGTATCTAGGAACCAATCTAATGAAAGAAGCAAAAGACCTCTACACTGAAAACTATAGCACTCTGAAAAAAAGAGATCAAAGAGGATATAAAAAAATGGAAAGATATCCCCCGCTCCTGGGTAGGAAGAATCAACATAGTGAAACTGGCCATACTACCAAAACTGCTATACAGATCCAATGCAATGCTAATTGAAATCCCAACAGTATATTTCACAGAACTAGAAAAAAGAATCCAAAAATTCATTTGGAACCAGAAGAGACCTAGAATAACAAAAGCCATCCTAGACAACAGAGACATGGCAGTGGGTATAACAATTCCCAATTTGAAACTATACTACAAAGCCACTGTAATAAAAATAGCCTGGTACTGGCAAAGAAACAGAACTGAGGATCAGTGGAATAGATTGGAAGACACAAATCAAATCCAAATGTACTCAGCTACGTCATCTTGACAAAGGTGGTGACCATCTTGAGTGGAGGAAAGATAGCCTCTTTAATAAATGGTGTTGGAAAAACTGATTTCAACCTGCCAAAGATTAAAACTGGACCCTTATCTTTTACCATGCACTAAATTAAAATCCAAGTGGATTAAAGATATAAACATTAAAACAAAAACATTAAACTTGCTGGAAGATAAGTTAGCAGAAATCTTGAGGACACTGGCATAGGAAAAGATTTTATGAACAAATCCTCAGTAGCATGGGAACTAGGAGAAAGAATCAACAACCGAGATCTCATCTTATAAAAAGCTTCTGCACTGCAAAAGAAACTATCAACTAAGAGACAACCTACAATGTGGGAAAAAATTTTTACCAGCTGCTCCTCAGACAAAGGACTATTTTTTAGAATATATAAAGAACTCAAAACAATCAGCTCCCCCAAATATAAAGACCCAATTAAAAATGGGCATCTGAAATGAATAGACATTTCTCAGACAAAGAAGTAAAAACAGCTAGTAAATATATGAAAAACTGTTCCACATCACTGGTCATTTGAGAGATGCAGATGAAAACAACACTGAGATTCCACCTCACCCCACAAAGAATGGCTGCTATCAAGAAATCAAACAACAAATGTTGGCAGGGTTGTGGGGAGAAAGGAACCCTTCTCCACTGTTGGTGGGAGTGCAGACTGGCACACCCACTATGGAAATCAATATGGAGATACCTCAAAGAGCTGGGACTAGAGGTTCTATTTGACCCAGCTATCCCTATGCTGGGTATCTTTCCAAAAGAATTAAAAGAATCGTATCACAGAGATATATGTACACCTATATTTATAGTGGCACAGTTTGTAATAGGTAAAACTTTAAAATAGCCCATTTGCCCATCAGTTGGAAACTGGATAAAGAAGATGTGGTTTTTCTATAAAATTGAATCATACTCAGCCATAAAGAATGAGAAATTAGATTCATTCATAGGAAAATGGATACATATTGAGGACATACTCCTAAGTGAAATAAATAAGTCACACATGTGTAAATACTGAATAGTTTCTCTGGTGTGAATAAGCTATAATAGTACATAAGATCCTAATGGTATAAGTGACAATGTGAA